AGCTCCTGGGCAACCGCAGCGAGCACGGTGCGGGGCCCGGAGCTGAGCTGCCGTTTTGTGGGGGCTCTCGGAATGCTCCTTCTGGGGCCAGTGGTTGTTTCGTTGTTTAAAGTATTTCTATAGCACACGAATTGGCATAATGCTCCCAGAATGGTTTACAGAAAACAATGAACTGTATCTCAACGGCAGCCATTTAAAGCAGAGTGACAAGCAGGCTCGCCTGCTACCGACTGTCCCTGCGACAGGCCAGTGGGGCAGGCAAGCCACACAGCAGTGCGTGACACGCAATAACGGCACTCCACCTGGGCCAGAACAGGTACAGGCCAGTATGAAAATAATCAGTGGTTGCACAGGTGAGAAAATGAGGACGTTTTAACCTGGTGCCAGAACATATATAGCATTGGCGCCAGGCGTGTCTCCCTGGGGAGAGGATGCCACAGGCAGGTGCCACCACTGATAAGGCCCTGCTGCTCCTAGCTTCCCTCTTAGTTTGCTTCAAGGGTGGCTCACGGAGAAGGACCTCCATCGACGTCCTAAAGGACCAGGTCGGTGTATGTGAAGTGGCTCCTGAAGATACCCAGGCGCGGCTGTTCAGGGCCTTCCGCATTAGCGGAAGCGCCTTAAGGCAGGCCTGGAGTTCACCTGGGAGCCGGGGCAGGTGATGCAACGTAGGGCGAATGTGCTGTTTTCTGCCTGCCCCCGTCAGGAAGCGAGCTGCCCTACCCTGTACGACTGAAGTTGCTGGACCGCATTCAAGGGCAGCCCCACGAGGAGCGCACTGCAGTAGTCTAAACGTGAGGCTAGCAGCACGTGGACCACCACTGCTGGCTGCTGCCTGCCCAGGTAGGGACACAGCTGCTAACTGAGTATAAACAGAAATGCCGAGTAGATTCTGCTATGGCTGTGTGGAGGCCCGTTACGTGGCTCCACGTGGCTCTCCCTCCATGGGTGCCTGCGCTCCCAGCCGTGCTCGGAGGTTGCAAGAGGGCCGAGGAAGGAGAAGACCCCCCTCGGCTCTGCCCTCTTGCGCGTGTGGGTGCCCTCCCCATGCAGAGCAGAGCGGTACCTCTCCGTTCTCGGGGGGGTCTCCGTTGCCAAACGTGCTCGTCACCACCAGCACCAGCGTCTCGTGCTCCAGGGAGACCACGTCGTATTCGTCCATGCAGAGCACCTGGGCGGGAGGGCAGGTTCTCCACGCGAGCCTGGTCAGCCACGCCTGCGGCCACGGGCAGCCCCCACCCGACAGCCCCCGCAGGCCACGGCCTCGGCCCTGTCGCCCTTGACCCCCACCCATGGGAGCGGTCGCCCCAGAACGGGAGGCGGGGACCAACGGGGTGCCCACCCGCTCAAGCAGCCTGGCCGGCACGAGGCGTGGGGGGACAGGGAGCCCCCCGCAGGCGCCGCCCCCCCCGGTGCACTGCGGCCCCACCTTGGGCGCAAAGGCGCACTTCAGCAGCTGGTGCAAGTTCAGCGCATAGCCCCGGGACTTCCCCGTCTCTGAGGCGTACAGGATCGTGGCCTTGACACGGCGGGACATCACGTGGCCCATCAGCTTGGCTGAAATCTTGACGGCGCTGTGGGGCGGGGGGAGAGACGAAGCGCGCAGCGTTCGGAGTGCAGCCCTCGCCCAGGCGTCCCCCTCCCCGCGGAGCGGCATCCCCAGCCAGAGCGGCCCGGCACGGGCAGGCAGCCGCCCAGCTGTCCCGCGGCAGCGCTGCCCGGTGCCACTGCCAGCCGGTGCGGGACGGGCCATTGGCAGCCGGGGGCCGGGGAAGCCTCCCCTCCTTTGTCCAGCGCCCCGCCAGCTTCTGCCTCTCCGGGAATGCCCACGATGCTCGGCTCAGGCCAGCTGGACCCGCGTCCCCCGAGGCCACCCTCCCCACAGGGCGCGGCCAGGCACTTCTGCTCCCTGCGCACGTGCCGAGCGCTTGTGGCGCACGAGCCGCGTTCTGGAGGCACGGGCTTAGCCCTGCTGGTGGTGGGGAAGGGCTGGGGATGCCGGGCCCCCCGCAGGTTGCCTGATGGCTTCCCATTGCTCTGCGGGGCGCTTTGCCTCCTGCCCCCCCAAACCTCTGGCAGCATCCGTGCCTCTTGACGGAGCGCCCATAGAGCACGCCCAGCGTTTGGGGCCGGGATGCTTTGGGGGCAGCGACCGCCCACCCTGCAGGAAGGCCTACTTGGCAATCTCCTTGAAGGTCTTCTTTCGGGTGATGGTGGTCCCTTTGGGGATGTACGTCTTCCACGGGTCACTCTGTGGGGGCAGCAGACGTGTTACGGGGGCAGCGGGGGACTCCCGCCTGCACCGCGACGTTCCTGCAGAAGGGCTTCCCCCCCACCTGCCTGTGGAAACCCCTCGGGAAGTGCAGATGAGAGGGGGGCCTCGCCGGAGCCCCTTGTTCATATTGCCCTGGAGGGGACCTGGGACTCTCAGCCAGTTCCAGACTCATCCGGAAACGCCCCACTGGACGCCTCTGGTTGCGGCCAGGAGAGCACGTGTGCTCCAGAAGCGCCGAGCCCCGGGGGCATGCCGGGTGGCCACGGAGCAGGGAGCGGAAGCCGCGCGCGCAAGGCGGGGCGGACCGTGGCAGCCGGTGCCAGCCCAGGCGGGCCCCATGCAGGGACTCGGCTGCCACTGCCCCGCCTCCAGCCACGCCGCGGCCGCTCGGGAGCGCAGGGCCTACCTGGTACCGGAAGCAGGGGGAGAGCTGGTAGTTTACGAACTCCTGATGGAAGGTGGGCGAGAGGCTGCCCGAGATGGGGGGCACCAGCCAGACCCAGTCGGCCGGGCACCCCCCACGCATCCGCTGCTCGTTCTCCAGGTGCTTCATGAAGGACTCGGACACGGCGTGGTGGTCGACGATGGTCACCTTGGCGAGCTGCGAGGGAGGCCGGTCAGGAGAGGCGGCCCGCGGAGATGCTCACCCGGGGCCGGGAAGCGCGAGCCCCGCAGCCGAGCAGCAGTCGGGGCACCCCCAGCCCTGCCGGTGAAGCTGTCCCGGCTGCACGCGCACCACGAGTGGCCCACAGGGCGGCGCCAACGGGGCAGCGCGGAACGATCCTCGCCAGCTGCAGGGAACGGCGACGCGCAGGCGGAGGGGCTGCGCCGAGGGACCTCCAGAGGCGCCAAAAGCTTTCCCCTGACCGGCAGCATCCGCTCCCCTGGGGGAGGGGCCGAGGCGCCCAGCGTGCGGCCCTCATCCGGCGGTCACTGTCGCCGCAACGATCCCCCTTGCCACCCGCCCGCCCGCCCCGGCCTGCATCCTCACCTGGAAGCTGTGCAGGACCGCCACGTTGATCTCCACGGCCACCCGGTCCTTCCAGAGGGACGAGGTGGCCTGCGTGTCCAGCCCCATCCGCTCGGCCACCTCCTGCACGGCACAGAAACCCCTGTGCGTTGGCCTGGGAAGTGGCGGGGTGCAGGGGCCCGGGGGGGAGCGAGGGGGCCGCATCCCCACGGAGAGGCCGCGGCCCACACAAACCTCCCAGTGGGCTTTGGCCTGGTGGGGGGGTCCTTGGGAGCGGTGGGGGGCACTGGGAATGGGTTCCGGGGCTTAACTCTGACACAGATTCCTTTCTGCAAGTCAAGGTTTTCCTTTTCTGTGGCTGCAAAGTCATTCAAAGGGGCGCGTGTTTCGACTGCACCTGTGAGACAGAGGGGGCCGGGTGGGGAGGGGCGGGCAGCCCTCCCAGCGGGGCACGTGCTGGGTGGGGGGCGAGGGGGCCGCAGAAGCCCCAGGAGCAGGACCCGTGCTGGAGGGAGGCCCACCTGCAGCAAGTTGTAGCGCTGCGTGTCGCAGAAGTTCCTCATGCCGATCTCGCACCCCACGTACCAGCCGCTGAAGGGGGCGGCCGGGAACTCCAGCCCCCCGATCTCGAGCAGGAGGTTGGCCACGGCGGGGAGCGCGTACCAGCGCAGCTGCAGCTCCTCGAAGCACTTCAGCCTGCAGCGACAGCGCAGCTCGCCAACGCCCCTCGGCCCTCGGCCCCCGTCCCGTCCCCGTCCCGGGCGCCCCTCGGCGGCAGCCCCCAGGCAGGCGCAGCAGCTTTGGGAGCAGAGGTGGCGGCGGGCAAGCCACAGCAGGGCAGGCGTGTCGCCCCCTCCCCGTGACCGGCAGGCGCCCCGAGCTCCTCGCTGCGGCGAGAGCAGCCGTGGGCTGGGCCCGCCGGCCTGCTGCCCGCGCGGCTCTCGTCCCTTCGAGGGGCTCGGAGCAGGGCCCGCCCCCAGGCGCACCACACAAGGGCAGCCCGGAGCGCCGGCCGCGCACTCACGTGGGGTGGGTGATGGGCACCTCCAGGACCAGCTCCGGGGGCAGCGGGAAGAGCTCCGGGTCCTCGTCCGGCGCTTGCAGCAGCAGCGGCAGCACGTCGAAGCGCCCGCGAGGCGGCTGCCAGCCGTACTGGATGCAGAGCTGGTGGGGCACACGGGTTAGGGGGCCGAGGGCGGCGGCCGGGCAGACGCCCCCACAGCGCGGAGCCGCTCCGCAAGCCCCCGGGGGCCGAACCCGTTCCCGCAAAATCGCTGGCGAGCCCCCGCCCCAAAACCCGCCGCGGGCATCCCTCTTGGCAGCACAGCCCAAGGCGAGGGGGCGAGATGCAACCTGGAGGGCCCAGATCCTCGCAGGGGCCCAGGGAGCTTCCCCCTTAGACACGGGGAGGCACTGCCCGGGGGCTGCGCTCCGGCCGGAGGAGGAAGCCGTGGGGGGCACCCTTCCTCTGTGCCCCTTCTCCCGCCGTTTGCCCCACACGGGGCAGGGCTGCGGGTCCGGGCCCGCCTGGGGCGCGGAGAGCGGCCGCCCCTTTCCTGTGCAGCCGCGTGCCGTGGGGGGACTGGCGCGCATGCTCGTGGGCTGGCCTGACGCGCACAGGGGGGGCGGGCGCAGGGGGGCTCCCGGCACCGACGCCGCAAAGCCGGGGCCAGGCTGCTCCCCACCTCCGTGAGCTCCACGCTGGCCGGGTCGCCCAGGACGGAGCCATCCGGCTGCTTGTATCCGGCGTAGCGGATCAGCTGCTGGTTCCAGATGCGGAAGTCGCCACGGCCCGCGACCCGCTTTGGGAAGATGGTGATGGCGGACCTGCGGGAGGAGCGGGGGCGGGGGGAGCGCAGCTGTGAGGGGCAGGCGGGCTGCCTGGGGGCTTCCCCAGCAGGGCACCGCAGCACCCGATAGGCCTGGGCCACGGCCCGCCCAGCCGCCCGCCACCCGTGGGGCCGGGCCGGGCTCGGGCTCGGGCTCGGGCTCGGGCTCGGGCTTGGGCTCGGGCTCAGGCTCACCGGAGGTTGCCTCGGTTGGTCGCGTAATGGATGTGCGTGCACACGAACGTGAACATCTCCTGCGCGCTCGTGCAGTCGCGAGCGTCAAACACCTGGGCGGGAGGGGAAAGTCACGAGGAGGCGAGGCCCCCACGCCGGGCACAGCTCCCCCGCCCCCTGCGTGCAGGAGCATCGGCCCGCCCCGGCTCCTGTCGCCGCCGGGCCTTGCCCGCTTCGGCCCGGATCCCGGCGCCCCGAGCACGGCCCCGAGGCCCGCGCGGGGAGTGGGCGCTGCCGCACCTGCAGCTTGTTCCACTGGATGCGGCCCAGGCAGCGGGCCGCATTGCGCCAGGCGTGCTTGGCTCCGAAGATCAGCTCGGCCTCCAGCAGCTGGTAGGTGCCGGTCGCGGCGATCTGCTCCTCCACCTCGCGGAGGCGCTGCACGTGGGCCTGGGAGTCTGAGCTGGGGAGACAGCGCCGTCAGAAGCGGCCGTCCAGGAGGCGGCGCTCACTTGGCCTTGCCAAAGGCTTTGGACAAGGTCCCCCTGCAGAGCCTGGCCAAGCCCAGCCGCTGGGAGTCAGAGGGAGGCCCTGCCACGGATCAGGACTCTGGATAGAGTGAAAGGCCGGGTGTCGGGGCCCATGCTGGCGCCTCTCAGTGTGGGGGGGGGGAGCGGGGGCCGCCGCAGGGCTCTGCTTGAACCGATGCTTTCCAAGCTACTCGGAAACGATCTGGGATCAGAAGAAAGCTGCAACCAGCCCAGTTTGCTGGCCGCTCGAGCTGTTCCGTCCGGGTGGCCAAACTGAAAGGGGTTGTGCGGAGTGCCCAAGGGCTCTCTCCGCCGAGGTGGGAGGAGGGAGGGGCTCCAAAGGCAAGGGCCCCTCTCTCGAGGCAGCCGCTCCTGGCTCTGGCCGAGCAGAGCAGAGCAGAGCGGGCTGCCCAGCCGGCCGGGGGCTCTGGCATGCAGGCGGCCACGCGGCCGGGGGCGACTGGCCAGGGAAGCCAACAGGCGCTCAGCGGGAGGGTCAAGGGGACATTAATCCCCTTCCTCTTCCGTGTCCCTTTGTTCCGCCTGCCCCTCGTCTCCCCCCTTGTGAGACACTCCCGTCCATGGGCAGGGCTGTGTCGTTAACGCGAAGCGAAGGCCGGAGGAAGCAGCACTTGGCACAACAGCCCCCGGGGCAGAACCACGGAGGGGCGTGGAGAATGGGCCAAGGAGACTCTGCGCGGTGGCCTGCAGTGTCCACGCAGTGCTTGTGCTCCTACCTGGGGGCAACGGGGCCGGCATGAACAACAGGGGCAAGCTAGTGGCCCTCTCGGGAGAAAAGGGGCGAGCGAGCAGCAGCAAGTGCCGCCCTTGGGGGATCAGAGCCGGTGAGAGAGGAGAAGCCGCATCTGCTCAGCTCCACGTAGCCCAGAAGCGGGAAGTGCATCGACAAGCCAAGGCAGAAGAGGAAAGCGTGGGGGGGGGGGAATGCGCGGACTCCTGGCGAAGGTGACAGGTGGTAGAGAACCGGAAGACGTGCTGCACCAGTGGAACTCCCAAGCCGCTCGAAGCCACGGGGGGAAGAGAGGAGGGAGGAGCCCCCTGCCGTCGAGCTGCATGACCCTGAGGATCTCTGACGAGGAGACCGAAAGCCAGCCAAGCAAAGGAAAAATGCCAACGCTTGCAAGACTATAAGGAGACGAGCGGCAGTTGTCAGAGATTCCCTCTTGCGCGAGGGAAACGTGTGTTGGGAAGACCCTTGGAGTCATCAGGGGCGCTGCCTCCCCGGAGCAAAGATCAGTGATACGACCAACAGAGCCCGTGCTCATACGACCCACAGATGCGCGATCCACCGGCACCCCCCTTCCAGGAGCTCTGAGGGAAGTGCTGCCAGACTTTGAAACCTTAGGGAAGCAAATCGGGAACATTGGGGTCCGGATAACCTTCTGCTCAAGCCTCCCGGTTTGCAGAAGAGGAAAAGATGGGAAAATACTCCACGTGAATTTCTGGCTGCGACGGGGATGCAGCCATCAGAAATCTGGACTCTGGAGCCATGAGCTAAACTTTTGGGAAGACGGACTGCTGGCAAGCGATGGACCGCACCTTGCAGAGAAAGGAGAGGATGTTCTTGGCCGCAGTACGGAGAGCTTTATCAGGAGGGCTTTGAACTGAACTCTGCAGGGGAGGAAAGCATGTGTCTGAGCGCAGCACCAACCAGCCAAAGATTATGGACTGCAATGGAGAGCTAGCGCTGCCTTCCAGAAATGTAGGAAGCAAACCAGGGGGGAATTCGGGTGGCCCCAGGAGCCTCTGCACCAATGACAGAAGTTTGAAAAACAGGCAACGTGGACTCGAAGTGCAAATACGGCCTGAGAGGCAGAAGTGAAATGGGTGGGAGGATCCACTCCCACGACTGGAATTCTGAAATTGCAGGCTGTCACCTGTTCAAAAGGAATAGAAGTAACAGAAAAGGAGGCAGAGTCGTTCCTTCTGTTAAGAGGCATATTTCTGTGTAGAAATACAGGAAGAAGAGACCAGTAATCCCAGTGCATGTATCTGGCTTAATATAAATGGAAAAGCAACGGGAGTCTATTTCATCCACCCAACCAAGGTGAGGATAAAGGTGAAACTTTTGAAGAACAAATTGCCAGAAGTTCCTAGAGGCATGACGTCCTCATTGTGGGCGAGTGTCAGTTGCCTAATATGATTTCAGTTTCTGACTGGGTAGCCTCCCAAATGGGCTGAGGGAATGCCGTGAACAGAATCCATGTGGACTTCAGCAAAGCCTTCCAGAAAGGGCCGCACGACATCCTGATTCCCAAACCAGCAAAAGGCAGGCTGGATAGTGCAACCATTTTGTGGATCCACAATTGGCCGCAAAATCAGACGCAAAAAGTGCTCAGCAGTGGCACATTCCCAGGCTGGGGAGAGGCTCTGTCCTGCGACCGACCGACCGACCGACCGGCACACTCCAACATTTGCATTAACAATTTCAACGAGGAAGTACAAGGAGAGATAATTAAGTTTGCAGCTGACACAAAGCTGGGTGGGACAGCAAACACCCTGGAAGACAGAGATAAGATCCAGGGTGATCGGGATAGGTGAGAATGCCGGGCAGAGAGCAAAAGACGAAATTTCGGTGGGAAGAAATGCCACGCCCTCCACTGGGGAGCAAGAAGCCAAAGGCGCCACTACAGGATGGGGAACGCTTGGCTCAACAGCTGCAAAGAGAAGGATCTCGGGGTTGCTGTCGATCACAAGCCCAATAGGAGCCAACAATGTGACGCAGCTGCAAAAAGGGCAACCGCTCTTTTGGGGTGCATTAGCAGAAGCAGCACTTCCCAGACAGGTGAAGCGCCAGCTCCCCTCCACGCAGCACCGGTCAGGCCTCGCCTGGCAATCTCTGTCCCGGTCTGGGCAGCTGAGAAGACGCGGAAAGTCTAGAGGGCCCAGAGGGGCCACGGGGGGGGGGGGGATCAGGGGCTGGAGGCGAAGCCCTGGGAGGCAAGATTGCGGAACTGGGCACGTGCAGCCTCAGGGAGAGGAGGTTCGGAGGGGCTGTGCGAGCCTCCACGAGGACCTCCGAGGCCGCCCCAGAGAGGGAGCACGAGGTCTCTTCTCATTCCTTCCAGAGCGCGGGACACGGAATGGCGACTCAAGTTCCGAGAAGCCAGATTCAGACCGGACGCCAGGAGGAATGTCCTCACTGTTGGAGCACCACGGCAATGGAACCTGTGACCTGGGGAGCTGGTGGGCTCTTCTCGCTGGAGACACTCGGAAAGCGTCTGGACGGCCGCCTGAGCGGGGTGCGGTGACCTGGTGTCCTGCGACAGCAGGAGTTGGCCCTCTGGCCCCCCCAGCTCTGCTCTGCCACGATCCTGCGCCCTGCCTGGGACACCCCCGCTTGCCTCTCCTGCATTCACGGCCACGGCTTCCCCACGCACTCGGCCCGTCTCTTCCTTGGTCTCTTTTCTCCTGCTGCCTTCAACTCTCCCTGGCTTGCTTGGTGTCTCCAGGGAGTCTTGGCTTTTCAGGAGGTGCCCAAGGTTCAGTGTTGCTTCTAGGGAAAGCTCTGGATTGATTGGATCTAAGGCAGACGTGTCTCTCTTCTTGCCAGCAAACCTCTCCTGCAGCACCGTGTTTTGAAAGCATCGATCTTTCTGTCTGCTTTCCTCGCTGTCCAGCTTTCGTACTCCCGCGCTGTGATCCAGAGTACGAGAGCGTGGACGATCGTGGCCTCGGTCTCCAGGGAAGCACCCCGACGTTGGATCCCCTCTCCAGCTCCTGCAGTAGCGGCCTGCCGCATCTCGGCCGTCTTTCAATTTCTGGGCTAGTCCCTCCCTGAACGGATGACCCAGCCAAGCGATGCGCGATCGCTCGCCATCCCGACCCTGCGCTTCTTAGCAGCCAAGCGGTGCAGGTCTTGCACGGACGTGCTTTCTGCTTGCTTGATGTCCAGCCGCGGTCCTGCTTTCTCACCTGCTTCCTCCACTTTCATCCAGAGGGGGCCACGTCACTGCCGCTTTCAGCCAACAGCGCAACCCTCCCTGCACATCGTGAGTTATTGGTGTCTCCTCTGCCAATTGACATTCCTTCCTCTGATTCCGCTTTTTTGTGGTACGTTCAATGTATGGGCTGAACAGAGAGGGAGATAAAATACACCCTTGTCTGACACCTTTGCCCCCCCCCCCCCCCGGAAACCATCCCATTTTCCGTATTCTGCCACCTCTGTCGTCACAGCGGCTTCCGGTCCACAATGCAGGTTGCTCGCCAGGAGAGGCGAATGTCAAGGCATGCCCATTTCTTCCGGGACCGCCCACAGCTTCTCGGGAGTTGCACAGCTGAGGCCTCGCTGTAGGGGATTCCTGGGGGTGGGTATCTGCCCTCTGCGCCTCCTCCTCCCTGGACCCCTGCCTGAGAGCCGGGCACTTCCGCTCCATTTGGGCAGCATCCTTTGTTGCAACGCTTTTGGGCATCACGCCGCTTGCGGGGGACCTGGCGCAAAGGCCCAGTGGCTGCGGCATCCTTGCGCACCTGCTCCGGGGACTGGAACGTGCACCGACCCTTTCAGGCTCTGGTGCCATTGCTTTCTTGGCCTGTTCTTTCTTGGCCACATTTCTTGGCCTGTTCTTGCGACGAACTGGGCCAGTTCAGTCTCTGCAGCTTGGGACAGTTCGCGGGAAGCCTTGTCTCCTCCTGGCACTTTGTTCTTTCAAAGAACTCTCAGAGCAGCCTTCATTTTGCTTTCTAAGACCGCAGACTCTTCCTATAGGATTTCTCTTTGATTCAGAGAATAGTAGAGCTGGAAAGGGCCAGGAAGGCCATCAAGTCCAACTCCCTGCAGTTGCAGGACACCAGTTTACCCCATCCCCCTCGGAGGGCTGCCCAGTTTCTTTCGAATGCCTCTGGTGCGGGAGAGCCCCCACCTCTCCGAGCAGCTGGTCCCGCTGCCGCATGGCTCTGGCTCTGACCATGAGGAAGGAGTCCTGGGGCCTATCGTGCCTCCTGCGTCGTCCCTCGGTATATTCCTCCCACCTTCGCTTTATCTTCCCCTGGCCAGACACTGGGCTCCCTTCTTTGTCTTTCAGTATTCCTGCTCCGGGTTTTGAAGAATAGAGAATATTCCTGATAACCAGTTGCTTGTGTCTATCAGAGAGACACAAGAGGGTTGAAAATACAAAATAAGCCTCTGTCAGGAAAGGCCGAAGATAAGCCTGGAGGCAGATAGTCAGACGCCCTGGGTGCCAGCTCTCCTGCCGCTTGGCTTGAGGGCAGCCCAGCCGGGCGAGCGCCAATGCGAGGCAGGGAGCTGCGGGCGGCCAGCGAGCTTCCACGGTGCCAAGCGGCTCACCCAGCTCGCCTGCTCCGCCGGGCGCAGAGGCATCCACCCCCCGGGGGGCAGATCCAGACCAGTCCAGCCCACGGCGCCTCCTGCTGGCCCCACTGGGAAGCGCCCTGGCCAGAGAGGCTGCGGCGCCTCCTCCGGGAGCACGGAGCCCGCAGGCAGCCTCGCCTGCTTGCCGGGCAAGCTTGTGCAGAGGAGGGGCAGAGGCTCCCCCGACCGCCGGGCGCCCCGCAGCGCCGGGCGAGAAAGCAGCGGGAGCGGCTGGCGCTTGCGGGCCTCGCGGGGCACCCGGCGGGCCCCGGAGCCGCTGGGGCTGGGCGGGAGAGGCCGGGCTGGGCCAGCGCCGGGGCCCTCCGGCTACAGCTCTCGGCATCCAAGGCGAGGCTGGACAGCCTCGGCCTCGGGCGGCAGAGAAATTCAGCGCATCGTCATGGCGGCGGCGGCGGCGCGATGGCTTTGCCGGGGGGCCGCCGCTGTTCCCGGGGCTGGCTGCGCTTCGGGGCGCCCTTCTGCGGCTGAGCACCGCGTGCCTCCATCCCGCCCCCCGCCCCCCGAGGCTGCCCTCTCCGGAGCAGGGCGGAGAGGCGAGCGGGCGCGCTCCGGACGCGGCGGGCGAGGGCGCTTGCGGCGAGGGCCCCGCGGGCGAGCCGCTGACCGGCCTGGCGCTCCCTGCCGCGAACAATGCGCGCCAGCTTCCCTTCCGCGACAGATAACATTCGCGGAGGGCCGGCTGTTTTCGCAAGGGGGGGGGGCCGCGAAAGATCACGAATGACATCAGAGACCTCGAAGGGGACGGGAAGAGGCTGCGCGCAGAGGAAAGGCCCTCTGATAACGTGCCCCGAGCTGTGAACTCGGCCGAGAACAAATGCGTCTGTGTGCGCGAACAGATTGGACGGGGGGGGGGGAGACGGGGGGGCCGCGCTCTCCAGAGCACGTGCTCAGGGCCAGAGGCCTGCCAGGTGGAGCTGGGGGCAAGCAGGCGCTTGGGCAGCGAGAGGGAGGAGGACGCCAGGGCCCCTCTGGCCACGTCTCCGGCACAAGCCCGGGGATGTGGGCAGGAGCTGTGCAAGGGGGGTGTTGTCCGGCCGAGGCTCGCCCGGGGTCTTTGGCAACCCCAGTTGCCCCCCCCAGCCGCAAGCCCCCAGACCCCGACCCAGACCCTCCCCCCAGCGGCTTCTGCAGAAGTCTCCTGGGGTCAGGAAGTGGCTGTGGGGGCCACGTTTAGAACGGGGTGGCCTGGGGCCCCTGGCAAGGGCGCCCTGGGGAGAAAGCGCCCGTGGGCGGCAGGAGACCGCCAGCCACACCTGCCCGGCGCTCCTCCTCTGGCCTTTCCCCGCGGCTCACCGGGGCGGAAACGGCGTGGCTCCGGGACGGAGCGCGAAGGCTGCCGAGACCCGCCTGGCTCGGACTCGGCACGGCGGGCTTGTCCGGCAGCCTCTGCCCTGTGGGCCCCCGAGCCCCTGCTGCGTGGCCACTTCGCGGTCACTGGGGCCGCGCCCCCCCAGGGCATTGCAGCCCCCCCCACTCACCGTTTCATGGTGCCATAGTAGAGGTCGATGAAGTTGTGGGCCAGGCGGAGCAGCGCGTCCTTGGGGCGGGGGCCCTCGGGGGCAGCAAAGAGCTGCTTCGGGAGCATGAGCGAGCCCATGCAGCGCCCCCCGCTGCACGGCATGTCCTGGGGGGGACACAGGCACGGGACTGAGAGACTCCGCCCGCCCCCAGGCGCCCGCCCAGCCCCCTGCCCGCCTCCTGGGCTGGGGGAGAGGGGCGTCCTCCCCGCCCGCCCGGCCGGCCGGCCGGCCCACCCGCCTCCGCACCTGGGACGCGTGGGCACTGAGCGTGTCGTACAGGATGGAGCCCGTCTGCCAGTTCTTGATCCGGGGGTACTTGGGAGGCTCGGCGGGGGGGTCGGCCGGACAGCTGGAGGGGAAGCCAAGCTGGGTCAGCCTGGCCGCTGGGAGAGACACGAGGCCCCCGAGCAGTGGGCAGCTGGCCCCCCGGGCCCCAGAGCAGGTGGCACCCCTGGACCTCCGGGAGAGGTGGCTGCAGGGCTGCATGGCTCTCCTCTGGGTGTGCAGGCAGGCTGGGCCGCAGGAGCCCCCCAGGCCGGCGCAGGGCAGCATGTGGGGGTGTCTCAGCAGGAGCTGGGGCACTGCCTTTGCAGAAGGGGAGACCCCCGGGCCGGGCCGGGGGGCCTGCGGGGGGCCTGGGAGGAGGGTCCGGCGAGGAAGCGGAGGCACCAGAAAGCTGCATTTCTGGGGGGGGTGGCTGCCTGGGTGGAGAGCCAGGGATGGCCCTGCACTGGGAGGGGGGTCTCCTCCTGGCCTCCCACAGGCCCCCAAGGGCAGGAAGGGGCGTGTGGCCTGGAATTCAGCCAAGGGAAGACCAGGGGGGCTTGCCGGGCCCACCCTGTGCGAGGGGCGGCCTTGCCCACCCCCAAAGCCCAAGCCCACTTTCGGGGAGCCAGCACTGGAAATGCACCCTTCTGCCCAGCACAATTTGTGCAGAAAAGGGCTCTGCCCCCAGAAGGCCCAGCCGAGTCCGTGAGATGCGGTCAAGCAACCTGGGCTGGAGGAAAGCCGTTAAGCGAGCCGTTAATGCCACAGTTCCGAAATATTTAGACCAGCCCGCGAGGAAGAGCTTCCAAGGACGAGCTGCAGTGAGCAAAGGTCCTTGCTCTCCTGCAGCCAAAAAGAAAGCCGGCCGAACTGCCGCATCAAAAGCATGTGTGCAAAAGCAGCATGTGGGGGGCAGCTGGGGGGGCAGCCACTCAGAAGGCAAAAAATCCCAAGCCATTTCCGTCCGTCCATCCGTCCATCCATCCATCCAAAGCATTTCTCCATCCCCTGCAAAAGTCTCAGGACGGTTTACAATTTCCAGGCAGTGATGGGCCTGCAGGCAGAGGTAGTGCAAGCCGGACTCGCGCCAAAGCACACCCCCCCCCCCCGTGGCTGCTGCAGTGGCATCATACGTTCTGCCCCCCCGAAGCTCGGCCCGGGCCCTCGGGCGCCCCGCCACCCCCGGCAGCCCAAGGAGGCTGGAGCCAGGAGCCACCACGGCCAGCCAGTCCAGCCGCCTCCCAGAGGCCACGCTGCAGGGCACCCCCACTGGCGGGGGCACGGCCTGCGAGCCCCTTCCCAGGGGGAGCAGGCGGGGCTTGGGCAAGCGAGCGTCCCGCACCCACCGCGCCTCGAAAGCACCCCTGCCCAGGAGCGCCCCTGCGGCCACCTGGGCCTCTTCGGCCTCAGAGCACGGCGGCCGCTGCTCAAGGGCTGCGTCCCTCGCAGAGCAAGCTGGCTCCTCACCCCCCACACCTGGGCCAGGAGCCCGGCCTCCCCAGCTACAAGGGACACCACCCCGGCCGGCCCGGGGGGCTCCTCCGCACTCCGGCTCTGGGCCAGGCCTGCCTGCCCCCCGGGGCACCGGGCCGCCTGGCAGAGCGGTGCCGGGCTCACAAGCGCGCACCACCTTCTCACAGCAGTGTGTCAGGGCCACCTGCGAGCTCCGTGCTCCCGGGGTTCCTGGAGGTGCCGGCTGCACCCCATCGCCTGGCAGAGGCCAGCCGGCCTGCCCTCCATCTCTCCCTCCAACCATCCAGGCATCTGGGACATGCGCGTGGCGGGCATGCCGTGAACGGAGCCGGCTGGAGCCGGGGTCAGGCTAGATGTCCCGGGAGGTCCCTTCTGACTCGCCCTGTTTCTCTGCTTCTCTGCTTGACTGCAGCCCCAGCCAGCTTCTCCGGCACCCGTCCTGCTCCTGCTCCACCCTTGCCTCACCAGCCTGCTTTTCCTATCATCTTCTTTGAGGAAGAGCTCTCGGGATCCCAGAAGCATTCGATTTTTTGCGGTCTTTGAGTTGGATTAGTAAAGGGTTTTGGAACAATTCCTTGGAGGACAAGCAGATCCAGGTGCTGGACCTGATGGCGAGCAGCGCGCCACAGAAAGGCCTCGTGCAGGCAGGTGCCGGATCAGTCCTGGCGGCCCATTTTCTCCCCTGTCGAATCCCCCGTCCCGGCCTGACCGCTGCTCCACCTGGCCTCATGTCCCGGCTAGCCGGCCAGCTGGCCGGCCCTGCACGGGCTCTCTGGGGGCAAGAGGCCTCCCTCCCTCACCTGCCTGTGGCCCCCATGGGCCGGCCACAGGCCCAGGGCAGACCTCAGGAAGCTTCCTCCACTAACCCGGAAGGGACCCCGCAGGGAATCACTCCAGGTAAACGTGGCTGGAAGCAAACTGGGCATTTCTAGCTTTTCCAAACCGTTTCCCAAGTCTGTGAGCCCTCCAGAGTGCCTGCCAGGTCAACCCTGAGGGCTGGTGCAGGGCCAACTTCCAGCCTGGGCACCCGGGAGAGCCGCTTCCAGTCCCACTCGGCTGCGGTGCTCGCTGGGCGCCCCGGGACCTCCCTCCCAAGGATGCAGTGGAGCTGCACTGGCCCCTCACGCGCCTCGGGAGAGGGAAAGCAGGGCGCAGAGGCCCTCGGCTGCCCCTGGGCCACCAGGCAGGACTGCTCCCTGGCGCTGCCTCGCCGGCCCTCACCGGCGGTCCTCAGCGGGCAGCCCTTCCCAGGCCCAGTGGGAGCGAGCGGCCGGCAGGGCAGCCCATTCAGCCGGGTGTCCTGAAGCGAAAGGCCCTGCTGGAGAGTCCCATGGCACCCACAAGGGCGCCCCCCCCCGGCCTGGGCCAGCCCTCTCCTGGAACACTCGCCTCTACCAAGCCAGGCGTCTCGGGAACCGCGCTGAACTCCGCCGGCAGCCCCCATCCCGGCCTGTGCATTTCCCCAAGCTCAAGAACACAGCTGCGCACACGCACACGCACATGCGCGGCTCTGACCTGCCGTTGCTGGGGGGGTCACTCTCCTCCGAGGTGGAGGCCCGCTGCCGAGAGCACAGGCCGTGGCCCGGCATGTGGCGGTGGGAGACGGCCGCCTGCACGTTCCCCATGGCTCGGCGCTGGGGCAGTGGCGCTCGGGGCTGCGCGGTGCCAGGAATCCGCCTTTCTTCCTGCCTGCTGAGAAGTCAGGAGGGTGTGGGGAATGACGGCCTCCCATCCGCCGGAGGACCGGTGGGCGCAGCGGGGGGGGGCTCGGGGGCCGGAGCAGAGTGAGGCGGCCTTTCCGTGGGCGGGGGAGCTGAAGCAGATCCCAGAAAGCCAGGGGGCGGAACGGGGGGGGGGGGGGCTGCTGAATTCTTTGTTCCATGCCTACGCCACCCAAATCTCCTCCGCATCCTCTCGGTGCTCAGCCTGGCCTTGGGATGCGAGGCCCGCAGTGGTGGCACTCCCGCTCCCCGCGGCAGACCCTCTTCGCGCCCGGGAAAGTTCTGTGTTGCCCTGCGCCTCCCTGTCACGCCCTTTGGGGGGAGGAGGGGCACCCGCCAGCCTCCGAAGGGTCCCGGCATTCCATTGAGGGGCTTTGGCCAGGCCGCCACGTTTCTCCGAACGTGTGGAGCAAGGCTCCGGGAGCCAAGGTGCAATTTGGATGCCCGGAAGTTCGGACACTGAGAGTAGGGAGTGGGCTTCCAGTCGAGGAGGGTGTGCAAGGACGGGCGAGACATGCCCATGGTGGGCATGGCATGAGCGGAGCCGGCTGGAGCCGGGGGTCAGACTAGATGGCCTGGGAGGCCCCTTCCGACTCGCTCTGTTTGTTTGTTTCTACGTTTGTCTGGTGCGTGCTGCCATGGCTTCCTCCTCCTCCTCCTCCTCACAGCCTGGCCTAGCCCTCCTCCTGGCTTGGGAAGGGGCTGATCCCCGCCACCGCTCTTACTCTGCCCCTGCTGCAAGCAGCCCCTGCGATGGCTCTGGCGATGGTGGGCATTGGACTGGGTCCCAAGGGCCCTGGGGGGACAGGGGGGAGGCTGGTCAGCCCTTGCCCAGGCTGGCTGTTCCAAGGAGCAGCCGCTTTGGGGCAGACTCTGAGGGGGGCTTGTTGCCTGCCTCCCCCCCGCCCCCCGCAGGGTGAGTCATGTGGATCACTTGGGTCTCAGCAGGATGCAGGGATGGGCTCGGCTGTTTCCCGGGAGAAGGTCATCTCCTGTCGCCTCCTTGGAAACTCGGAGCATCGGGAACTCGCTGCGCTGACTCAGTGGTGACAGAAGGAAGCTGTCTGGCCGGGGCACACGCCCTCACCGCCAAGCGCTCCCTGGCCCTTTGAGCGGCACCGTCAGGAGGGCTGAGCGTTCCATGGCTCCTCTCGCGGTCCCCCCCCCCCCCCTGCAGCCCCGGGGGGGGGGCTCACAGCACGACCCTCGGAAACAGCGGAGTCTCATAGCTTGACAATTAGAGCTCTCCTGATACTCAAAACATAAAGCAAGGCACTTACAAAGATGCACTTAACTTTTCTGGTGGGAGCCAGACCTGGCGGGGCAGTTTGCCTCCTCTCCCCATCCCCTTTCTCTAGCTAACTGGACATTTCTGGAGCTGTAACATGGAAAATTCAGCTAGAGCGTCGACTCTGCTTCCGATTTTGCGGCTGTGAATATTTGGGGGCCTCTTGCTCATGTTCCGTGTCATGTTGAGAAGAACATACAAAGAAAAACGCAGCGGGGGCACCGAGCGCTCCAGGCGGTCCCTCGTGGGCGTCTGGGGAAGGTGGCGTGGGGCCTGCTGGGCTGCTGGGTGTGGGGAGGTCCCGCAGTGGAAGCCCCTCGTCCAGCCCACCAGCCTTGACCCGGCCTGGCCCGGCGCCTGCTTTTCCCAGAGTGTTGGAGAGAGAGAGGAAACCGCACCTCTGCGGCTGTTTCCTTCCTCAGCCTTGGGAGGAACAGTGAGAAGGGCTGAAGGCAACGCGGGCGGGCGGGGAGCCCCAGGCATTGTGCAGGGATGGGGGGGCGCTGCTGGGCAAGACACAAGCGGAATTCCAGGGAGGAGACGGAAAAGCCGAACAGATTGGAGGTGTTGAGGTGCCGGGGAGGGGAGGGCCGCCGCTGACTCCTCCGTGCTTCTCTCTGGGGGCTTCCCACATCCTGAGCAACTCCCAGGTCCAGGCGGCTTTGCCACCTGCTTGTGCGCATTTCCCCTGGAGCCACGGAGCGGGGCCGCCTCCCGCACCCCACGGTCCAGGCTTGGCCAAGGGGGGCGGCCCGTTTGGCCTCCTTGGCTGCTGGGGGCCCGCCAGCCTCCCGCCTGAGAGACGGCACAAGGCTTGCGCCAGCCGCCCCGCTCACGAGGTGCCTCCCACGTGCATGTCCAGGCTGCCCTTGAGCACCCTCCCCATGGGCCTCAGCCCCTCCGGGGAAGCCCGCTCCGCTCCGCTCCGTTCCGCTCCGCAGAAAGGCGAGGGCTGGGAGCCCCGAGGCCACGCTCCCCACGAGCGAGCGAGCACGTTGTCCTCGGCCGGCTCACGGGCGGGACCCGCGACACGCGCCCCGACCCTTTTCTCCGGCTGCTCCGGGGGCTTCGTCTTGGGGTCCCCAGGCCCGCTTTCATGTCATCTGTGGCCCCTCCGAGGCCCGCGATCGCCCCGGGCGGCACCGCTTGCGGCGCATCCGCTTCCCCGCACGGCCACCGCCGCGCCTGCCCTGGAGCCGCGCCGGAGCCGTGAGGGAGCGCGCGGGACGGTGGGCGAGGCGCGCTCGTGGCCCGCAAGGCAGGGGGCGACTCCCCGGCCCCGGCTGCTCCCGCCGCGCCGCCAGAGGCAGCTCCGGACAGGCCCGCGGGGGCGTGGGGAGCGGCCAGGCTGCTCCGCTCGGCGGCGACGCCGGCCCGGGGCGGCGAGGGGGCGCTCCCCCGCCGCGAAGCCCGGCTCCCTTCCGCCTCGCCTCCTCGCCAGATCGCCCCGCGCCTGGCAGAGCCGCCGCCGAGCGGCCCCTCGGGGGCGGTCCGCGCCTGGGGAGGAACAGCGCGAAGTGCAGAAGGCAGCGCGGGGGGGGAGGGGGCCGGGGTGGGCAGGGAGCCCCAGGCATTGTGCGGGGAGGGGGGCACTGCTGGCCGAATCGGGCTGCCGGTGCGCGCGAGAGCGGACGCGGCTCCGCGCAGCTTCCGCCGCGCCCCCAGCTGCGCCTCTCCGGTGGACAGCAGGGCGGCGACGGGGCCCGGCAGCTTGTGCCCGGTGCCCGTTTGTGTGAGCTGCCCGGAGGACTCTGGCTGTTGGTCTGACAGGTCAGATCCAGAGATGGCAATGCACTTCAGAGC